AAACACAGAGTTGGGTCCGCGAGACAGAAAGGTCAGAAAGCTGCCACCACCAAGAATAGTGCATGTGTGCATGCGGGGCCAAAGAGATGCCACCTGCCGACACACCGACATTGCCAAGCTGATTTCGTCGTGATGCCAGGCAGCCGTGGCATGGAACAACTCCCCCTGGCATACTTCTTAGACTAGGCTAGCTGAGAGCAATAGGAAGCGGCAGTGTCAGTTCTGCCAGGTGCTTCCACCACGGGGACCAGCCCTGCACCGTAAGGCATCGGCGGCATGCCAGTTTGGGTGATGTATAACATGAGAAGGCTTGCGGATATTGGTCCTCAGGCGTGTGAAGCTCGCAATGAGGCATGGCAGGATCTGCAAAAAAACGCGACAAACACACAAGGTGGCCCGGCGAGACCCCTAGTCGACATTCCGTTACTGCATGTCGTAAACTTCACAAGGTTTCGCCCCTTTGCTGCTAAAATGTGCGTAAAGATGCTTAGGCTCTTGCCGGCTTAAGCGCGATTCAACTCGCAGCTTTCTGCTGCAAGGCGTCGGTGCGAAATCCCGCAGGGTATCCGGGACTAACGCTCGCGCGCCTCAGATCACTTCAGCGTCTGGGGAGATCTGGGGAGTCTGGGGAGCACTCGAGGCAGTTCCAGGGCAGTTCGACAAGACACGTTGCTGCGGTGGCGGCAAGTCAGGAAGTCACACCTTTGATTTCATTGCCATTGCGGTAGAGCACATGGTCGCGCTTGGTTGCATTCAAGGCACTACAGTACCACTAGGAACTAGCTGTTGTTTTTACAGCGAAGATTGCCCCACGAGAACTAGTCCAGCTTTATCAATTGAATCCCAAGCTGGCCAGGAACTTGCGCTATCAGCCTGAGTGAGGACCCCCTGCTGTCTTCGCGAGAAGTCGACATTCCATGGCTGTCAAAGCTGTGTCATGCATAGGGGAATTTCAAGTTCTTTTCGCGGCATATGCGATGCACGGGGAATCTGCCAGCAGACTGCAGGGTCACGAAACTCTTACTCGCAGGAGCTTGAGGTTGAGACGCAGCTTTGCTGATTAGGGCCCAAATCTGGCGCCAAACCCCACCGGAAGCCGGGTTCGGGGCTGCGCTGCCCTGTCAAGGACAAGTGACAAGTGCGGGTGGTCAGATTTCAAGCGAACCGGGAGGGACGGGTGGAGAAGCGAGTCCCAGATGATGCTGTTTTTTTTTAGGATTCCATGGGATTCCCAAGAAGCACGTGCAGTTGGTTGTTTTGAGGATTTTGTTTGCTGTGAGGGCCTGGGTGGAGGGTCGCTGCATGCAGCGCGCTGCTCGCTGCCTCGGCTCAGACAAGTTTTAGTTTTGGATGTCTGGTGGGATACTCGTGGGCGAAATGGTCGAAGACTCAGTCGGTGATGCTGAGCTTCGAACGGGCAGTGAAGCGGCGTGAAGCTACGCCAGCTGAGGCCGCACGCGCAAGCAAGGGTGCACCCCCCTCAGACCCATCACGTGGGGGAACGTGCAGGGTAGCTTCATCATTCAACTTCCACGGAGCTCCTGCTGGTTGGAGGGTTTTGAACCGCAAGCCGTCAATGCGTGCGCACGGATTGATGATGCTTCCGGAGAACCAAGGCACCAGAGCAGCAGGACTTTGTCAACGGATGGCAGGGTTCCTGGGGCACTGACTGCAAAGATGAAGCGTTAGCCAGTGGGGATCGTGGAAACAGATAAGCCAAATCCCAAGCTGCTTCAACCCCGACAGAGCCTTCCTACCTAGCCTACCCTCGCACCACTGCAAATGAAGGGCGGGGGTCGGGACCAAATATGACCAAATGGACCACTGCTTTGATTCTCGCTTGCTTACAGCATGGGATCGGCGCATGCTGCATGCGTGCACGAAGACGTTTTGCACATGCCGCATCAGCGAAAGAAGCACTGCATTGCCGCTTCCTCCCTGCCACTCGAGGCCACATCCGGGTCTTCTCAGCGGAGCTGCTCTGCAAGAGGATCTGGCCGAGAGCTTTCGCCGAGGCAGACTCTTTTCTGAGGATGATCTTCAGTTTTGTGCACGGCCCGATGGCAGGCGTGGCGAGGTCCATCGAGGAGCATTCCCTGAATTACGGGAACCCCGTCCGGGCCGCAGACCATGCAGACGGATTGCAGTGTATCTTACAGCCCTAGACGAGCTTCGGTCGGCTGATCCTGACATAGCCTGGCTGAGAGTTCTCAGACCAGGCAACCGGGTCCTACATGCTGGGGCATCCCAAGTTTCTCCAGGTGCAGAGACCGCTGCCTCAAGCATCCACCTGGTGCGAGTGCGCCCCCACGAGGCCATGGCGACTTTCCTCGAGGCTCAGTACGATGCGTCCGCTCCTGAGTGGCGCAAGTTTGCATTTGCTGAAGCACGTCAAAGAAGTCCTGCAGCCAGCGCTAAAGTCGCCGCAGGCCCGTTGATCCAAACACCTTGATGTCTACGGTGGGTGCATCCATGGGCCTGATCCTCAGCACGCCCGTGATCTGGCCGTTTGCTTGCGTCACAGGGCTTCAAGCCTGGCATCATAGCGGATGTCGATCGACCTTGTCTTTACGAACATGCACAGCTCCGACGTTCGTCCAGCTCTGTCCAGTTCCATCCCTGCCATCTGAAGCGCTTATGCAACAGAGCCCGGCCGGTGTTGCCCAGCGTGCACGCTCTGCTTACACCAAGGCACCGACTTGTGCTTTCGCGCCTACGGCAAGGCAGGTGCACCTGGCCAACCCATCTTCCTGGGTCTAGCCAACCCCCTCTCTCTCGCACTCTCTCAATTGGTCTCTTCTTCGCAGTCTCGTTTGTTTTGCAGGCAGGCGACATCTGCATCTTTGAGGACATCTGTTCAAATCCAAGTGATCGGATGCAGCGCGACTGTATGTTTGCAAAAATCTTGTTTTACCGCCTCTACCAGGGCACGGCAGTGGCACTTGTGGAGCATACGAGGTACTGACTTTGTGCTATGTGCCCAGCACACCGGAGCTCGACACCCCATCATTGCTCTAGCCCATCAGTTGCATCAGCGCCGCCGCCGATCCTCCAGCGCTTGCATGCAGGAGCCCGGCTACTTCTTGTCTTTCCAGATGGCCCGGGATCAAGGCTTGGAGCCGTGCGGGAGCCCAGCTAGTGACCCTCAGTCCACATATGCTCTGCGCTACACCGGACCCGACCGAGGAAAGGTGTGCCCATGTACGAGGATGGCATGGACCTGGATGCGTGCGCCGTCGCCAGGGCATGCCAGGGCTAGTTCCGGTCGATGTCTTGCCAGGAACCCGGATTGAAACTCTCGCTGAGGCTCGAGCAAGTGTGCAAGGAGTCGATGGGGAAAGTAAAGCTTGCTGCAGCCTCGGCCGGGTTCGCTGCGTGGCGCTTCGCGCAACAAGCACGAAAGCATGTGTGTGTGTGTGTGTTTGTTTGTGTGTGTGAGTGAGCTTCTGTGCCCTGCTCGTAAGGTGTACACGGTGTGTCGGCCTCGTCATTTTGAGCCGTAGCCAAGGAGGTGTTTTCTGGGCGACGCACTTGATGTCCGTTGTAGCTGAGGCCCGTGCATCACAACCCAACAGGCACCGTTGATTTCCGATGCAGTTTGCACTGTCAAGATGGGAGTCTGCCGCCACCATCCACACAGCCCCACCAGCGCTCTGACAGATGTGCGCATGAAGCATAGGTGGCCTGCTGGTTGCGTGCAGGGTCGACGTGAGCACTCCAGCTGCTAGCCACATCAGGAGTCTCTGTTTGATAGCAATCAGTCTCTTCCAAACTTGCGTGGCTTGCCTCAACGCAACAGACACGCGGCGCTTTCGACTTTTTGGGTGAGGGTGCATTGGAAGTGTAGACGGTGCTGGGACATGGTGGAGCCACATGTCGGCAACATACTCATGTCGCCAGCGTCCCCAAAGGATTTTCGCACGATGCCCCTATAGTCATGTACTTAGAACCTAGAGCGGTGTTGCTTGCTGTTCAGGCTACATCACATCCAATGCGAAGCGTGTCAGGCTATTGCAGCTTGCCAGGCCACGTGCTTCAGCTTGCTCGGACAGCTCAGCGAGGGGCATGCTCGGAAGACTTGAAACGCTGAGGGAGTACCAGTTCTTCGTGGTGGCGGATGAGACGTACCAGCTGCTCAACTTTCAGCCAACTGAGGCACACCACACCACTTTATGCCAGTTCTTGACTGGAAGCTGGCTTGCTCTGAGAGGTGAAGCCCCTCTTCTACCACGATGATGCTGATGATCCGCCCTTTGCCAAGATGGTGTGAGGTTGAAGTTGTTCACGGGCGGAACCAGGATCCCATTGCGGGCGGGATGCTTGCGAGTTGTTGAAGCCATGGTTTCAAATTTCCGCTGACTGCTGTTGAGTCGTGCGCCCGTCGCTACACTGCGCAGATGTCAGTATGATTCGAGCCAGTCAGAGCGCCAGAAGCTGTTGGCGAGGCGAGTGTTTTCCATCGGAACTTTCTCCAAGCTCATTGGCCCTGGCATCAAAGCGTGGGGGCTCAGCACCGCGAAGAGACTTATGTAGCACTTGCAGTCGTCGTTCACCATGTTTGCGGAGTCCTTGAGTTCCTCGTGTCCTGCTACAGAATGCTTGCTTGAGAGCCTCGTCGTGCCGAAAGATGAGGTCGGCTGGGTTCAGGCCCACCCGAAGCTGCTGCAGTGCCGCCCTTGGGGGTTGTGAGTCACTGCTGCCACAGATCACTGTTCACTGCACTGCCCTTCTCGACGAAGCTTGCGGTCCGGTCCGGGCTTGTGTAACTTGAAGGGAGACCGAGCACATCTCAGCCGCCTGAAGTGGCAGGCCCCTTGCCGGCCTCGGCTTCATTCGCAGTGGCACGGGCCTCGACCTCCCGAAACGGGCGACTCCGACATTCCATTGGGCCAACAGGTCCATGTCAAGGTGTTGTGAGCGTTCGTATCTTTGTCAGGGAACAACCCTGTGATCTTCTCGTCCATGAATCTGCTGCACTTCGTCGAGCGGGTGCCCCGGGATGCCCCGGGTTAACGGCCAGAGGTTGGGGCAGCGTAGGGTAGTGCTCAGAGTCTGGAGAGCTGCAGGTCTGGCGCTCTGGCCAGGCACATCGAAGTGGCCCGGCTCCTGCTGCATGTTGCTGCAAGCCGGAGCAGCTTCTTATTCAACCGTTTTGCCAAGGTCTCGAAGGACCTGGGCGAGAGGCTTCGGGCTGAGATCAGCGGCACAGAATGGGGTCGTCAGGTACCTGCAGCTGGGAGATCAGCGGTTCCGAAGCTCTTGCAAGGCAGGGTAGCGCGCCATTGCACGCAGCCGCATCGCAGAGGTGCCAACTCATCTGCCGAAAGCTTCGCGAAGTTGGTCTCGAGGCCGGTGCTGTAACGTGTGCCTGCGAAGGCACTGGGCCTTCCCGAGCCGCCGCGCTTGAGACAGGTGCACGAGCCCAAGGGCGGCTACTCTGTCTGGGCCGGTGGCTCTAGTTGGCAAGTGCGCCCAAGCGCAAATGGGGGCAGGGCACCGTGCTGAGGTCAAGTCCAAGGGCAAGATGACAGGACGAGGTGCCGTGTGAGACCGGCTTTGCGACTGGCATCAGAACTCCGCTGGAGGTGGTCAGGACATGGCCGTGAAGGGTGACAAGTTCCACGACTACATGCGCCTGTGCTACGGCTTTGACCTCAGCTTCGATCATTCCCGAGCCAAGCAACTCCGGCGCTCCTCTTGTCCCAGCGCATCAAGACCCAGGCTGGCTTTCGCCGGAGCAGCTGGAGGAAGGTATCGAGTGCGCGCAGCAGATGCACCGCTTCGCCAACCCTCCCGTTCACAAATATGCCTTGATTTTGTGGAACGCTGAGCAACCCAAGCAAGAGCTGAATGTCATCATGTCCTCGGCCTGATTAGTCGGGTGCGTCTACGCACCAGTATGAAGGTATTCACGCAAGCGGAGGGATTGGGAAGGTATACGGAGTAGGTAAGGCTTCCGGAATCAGAGGGCAACTCACCCTAGGGCCAGTGCTGGTTTAGGAGTTGGGGTGGCAGGCTGCAAATCTTAAGCTGTGAAGGCTCATTCGCTGCCTTTGGGCCGTAGGTCCACCGTAGGTTTGATGTACCAAGTCTACCGTGGGCACTGATTGACATGTCGGACTACATGTGTGGGCGCAAGTTCAAATTTAACAGAGTCTCACCGAGCATTGAGCATCGATCCTGCTTGGTTCCTGACTCTCTTGTTGCCGTTGAAGCAGAGATCGCTTGAGAGCAGGTACCTCAGGCAGTGAGTTCTGAGATCCTGCTAGACGACCTGCAGCCCGCGTGTACAGGATTGGGCCGCGTTGCCGCTTCAGCGTTTCAGCTGCAGCGCACCTTTAATGGAATTCGACCACATACAAAGGGAACGGTGATCCGTGATGCCTGCCCGAGCAGGGAAGCCGAGGTGCTCTTGACTTTGAACGCGTCATAAGAGCTTCGCAGCCATCGCCTTTCCCTGGCGGCGGCGACGGGCGTGCTGTCGAAGCAGCTGCTCGACGGTAGGCCGGGAGCCGCTTGCAAGCCGTGCACGATCTCCAGGGCTGCGTCCGCGTGAAGCCCGCCGGGCTGCGAGAAAGCGGGCGTTCCTCACATTCCCTCACCGGTTTCCGACATGAGCCTGCCCTTTCTCGTGGTTTCAAGGCACACGCGTGAGGTTGCCCAGACGCCGTCGAAACTCCGCGAGGGGGCTTGAGGGCGCATTTCTATCGGAAGGACTAGCGAGTCACAAATTGGTTGCAGCGGCAGAGCGGTGATCGTCGGGCTTTCAGCTGCCTGGTCCTTGTCGAGCCACTATATAATAAGATCTTGGACCGGCATCTGTGGACCGCAGGCTCAAATTCCGTTGTAGCGACAGGCCAACCTTGCTCCACACTCTGCCTCTGGAGATGATGCTGGTTCCAACTCTCATGAAGGCGCCGCCCTGACTTTGTCACAAACCGGCAAGCCTTCCTGCCCTGCAGGCGTGGCGCGTGCATGCCTATGGCAAGGAAGGCGCAGGGCAGCTTTTGGCAGTGCAGGTAAGGGCAGCGCGGCTTGGCCTTTACTTTGCCTGCCTTCAGGGAACCCGGCGCATGCCATCAGCAACATGACGCTGGACATGGTCCCAGTTCCCGAGCCCAGGGAGGGGCAGGCCTTCATCCCGAGGGGCTCGCAGCTTTTCCGGGATGGGGGATGGGGCCCGCCGACGGCAGGTCCTTGTCAAGGTCCAGATGGCGGCCGTGAACCCGGTGGAGCTTTGGCTGCCTTGTCCATTGCGCCAGTTTGGGAAGGGAGTTGAGTTTGATGCCTGCGGTAGCATTACTGCGGTAAGCATGCATCCCCGAATCTTTGCATCTTCATTCTCTCGGTAGCGGGGGCTATGCCGAACCGAGGACTGGAAGCTCTTCGGCGGTGGCATGCACCGCATCTTTCCGATGAGCTTCCCGTGACTTGGGCTGCCTTCCGCCTTCAGCGTCCTCGTGCTGGGAAGTTCCGCTGCCAGCATGGATGTCGTTCGACTCCTTGAACCCACCTGAGGTATGTACCGGGTTTCGACATTGCAGGAACAGTGGTGAAGGCACACAGCCGGGCTGCAAGGGGAGTGGGAGTGGTAGCACATCCACGGGAACCCTTAAGCCCTTGGGGACGAAGTGCCTAGTTAAGCCTCATATGCGTTTATGCACTCTTCCAACGTCGGTTCCAGGTTGGCGAAGGCGTGACCCGCCTGGCAGTGGGCGATGAGGTCTGCGGGGACATCGGCCTCCGCGAGACTTGCTGTCCCACGGTTTGAATATGCGCACAGATCTCGTAGCATTGTCTCCTTGAGTTGGAGGTCTGGGGGTTCTAAGGCAGTCTTGCCAGCAGCGGAGTCACAAGCTTCTGTTGTTGCTCCTCGCGCGACACAGTTGACTGCCATGTTGCCTTGTTTTTACACAGAAGGCGAAGCCGGCCGGAAGGGAAGCACCGGGGCAGAAGTCCATGTTGCTGGATCATATGAAACTGAAATCGCTGGACAGCACCAAATGCTGCAAAGATGCCTGTGAGCGCACTGGGCTGGCTTTGCGGTCTTGCCGTTCCCTTGTCCTTCAGATCCTTGCCGTGCGTGAGCGTGCGAAGTGAGACTTCCAGAATTTCAGAATCTGTTCAGCCGAGGCCACGGTACACAGGCTGGTCCTGCCGGTGCCTTTGCAGAGCCGCTTCTTTCGCACCAGCTTGCTTTCGGAGTGAGGCTTAAGACTTCAGAGTCTTGGGGCACCTTGGGGCACTTGCCACCCGGGAGACTGGGGCCGACTCAGAGCGAAGAGCCTGCAGGTGCAGAACCTAGTAGAGCAAGTCCGCAGGCATAAGACCCATCAGCGTTGTGCCTGTGACACTGACTGGCAAGGTATGCCGTGGCGTTCGCAGACACTATCGCAAAGCATCTGGGCAGCATGTTGCTGCATACCAGTCAACCAAAGGTGTCACTGCATTGCGTGTGTATTAGGACTTGCTTGCAACACAAGGCGTGAAGGCCTTAGCGCTGAAGAAGTGGCAGCTCGGAGGCGTTTCAAGCTGACCTTATCGCTCCTCTGCATCATTTGGGCCAAGACGTCCTGGCGCGTTCCAAGGTGGGTTTGCCGCTGGTGGGCCTTACTTCGTACCAGGCGCCGGGGATGTATGCGGGCGCCGGGGATGTATGCGGGCTCGTAGATGCATGTTTGCCCATCTCCTGAGGTCCTATTCACCGGCGCCGGGCGTGATGCTGCTGGCACAGAGCTTGGTCAACTTGTCCCCGGCCCCCCGGCACGGATGTTGTGGGGGCAGTAGCAGTCTCAATGTCATTGTCGTCTTGAGCTGAAGCCGATGCGTGCCGATGTGATCCAGGCCAGAAGCTGTTGATTCTGGGCGGAGGCGCAGCCACCGGCTCGATTGCTGTCCAGCTGGCGAGGGCCGTGGGCGCTTACGTGGCCACCACGGTCACGGGGTCTGCAAGTACTCAGTACAGGGAGAGTATGTTCAAGCGGGCAGGTGACAAGTCCATCTTCACAACACCTGCCTGCATCTGCCAGAGTGTATTGTGAAAGGTATGATGTTTAGGTTTCTATGTAATTACAAACCATACGAAACTTGTAGGTGGTCTAGCATGTATGGGTGGTTGTCGAAGTTAGGGTCCCTGTTTCGGTCCTTAACATAATGCGGCACCCAATATTTAGGGTACCCAAACAGGGACCCTAATTTTGACAGTTACCGTTATATATATATATACACGCACACATGCATATATATATATATATATATAGATATACCATCCCCCCTGCCAAACACTAACCACATTTTCCGCAAAGGACCGTTTGTCGGTGGGCGGCGTCCCTCTGCCGGTGCTGAAAAAGAGAGAGAGAGAGAGAGAGAGCCCCACGAAAAGCTAGCTTGATCTGAATAGTTCCGTTTTTTTATAATCCGGGAAGTACATATGTGTCAACATTCACAGATCTTCTGTCAGATTCTCCCCCTTAGGTCCGGCTCAAGGCAGGCTTGTACCGAGAAAAAGCTCTGCCACCTACCTCGGAACCCTAATAACAGACACCTCCGATAATAGAGCTGAAGTTTCTAACAGAATCCGTGACTGTATAGCTACATGCAACCGCTTGAAGTTGTTCTGGAATAAAGCTAACAACCGTATAAAGTGGAAAATCCAAGCATTCAATGCTATCGTCCGCTCCAAATTACTTTATGGGTTAGAATGTGTGCAGCAAACGAATGCGGAGCTCTCTACATCACATGCCTTTCCGAACAAATCGTTGAGAAGGATCTTACACATCCCACCTACATTCATAGACAGAGAACAGACCAATGTCAGCATGTATGATAAAATACGAAACGAATACGGTTGTTCTATTGAACACTTTGCGGACACATGCCGCAAGGCAAAGTTTAGGCTTTTTGGACATGTATTGCGAAGCCAGCCCAGCAGACCCTCTAGTTCAAATTACTTTAGAAACAGACGGATTGACGCCTGGAGCTCCCACCAAAAGGCGGCCAGGCAGGCCCAAAGCAGACTGGACCACCGAAGCCTATAGAGATGCATATAGTATACTGCATGGAGATGCTAACGCTTTTGATGTCAATAATATACAACATCTAAATGAGATCAAACAATCAGCCAGAAATCGTCAAGGACCTTTTGCTGCATAACATGTAAGCGATACATCGGGACGCTGTCCCAAAGACCATCGGCCTCTCAAGGTATTCCTCGCGGTAATGTCGTCATTGTTGCTTGGGAAGTGTGGTGCAAAGTTTTTTCCATTTCTGTATACTCATTGCAGCGCTAAATATCTTGAAGATAATGTATTCTCAATGACTCCTGAACTTGTCTCACTGTCCTAGTGTACCTCTACTCGTGCTTTTTGCATTCTCACAAACCTGCTGGGAGCCCTCCTGTGCTCGACAGAAAAATTCACGGGTGACCCCCTCCCCCCTATGATAACGCTATAACGGCTCCTCCGTCGCTTCCTGGCTTCTTTATCAAGGTTACGAGTGAATTAGAGAGGACTCAAGGGCACGCTTGGGGGTGGGGGCCGGAAGTGCGGACACAAATACCATTGCGCGGGGCAGCGGGATTGCGGAACGCGGACACGCAGGTATGTATGTATGTATTTATGCAACTATGTATGTGTCAAGATAAACGTATGTACATATAAATATAAACAGAAATGATATATATATATATATATATATATATATATATGTATATGTATTTGTATATGTATATGTATATGTATATGTATATGTATATGTAAATATCTATACACATGTATACAGCTGTAGTCTGTTGTACACAGAAACTACGAAGTACCACATATGCCATGCATCATGTACATCAAATATTTTGTGTATATATACATTTGTATGTATGTATGTATGTATGTATGTATGTATGTATCTTCTGTAGAGGTTTAGATTTAGATATGGGTATAGATAAGCACATTATCTGTATTATCTACCAGGAAAGCTCCGTTTAGGTTCGGTTCGTTTCGGTTTCTGGGAAAGGTTTGAACCGTTTCCGGTTTGTGCGTCTCCGGGCGGTTTCCTTTGCGGTTCGATTCAGTTTGGTTTGGTTCACAAAACCCGGCCGGCACTCCAGCCAACCGACCCCAAAACATCCTCCACCCCGTTGTCTACATACATGCATATATGCATACACACACACACACGAGGAGATTTGTTGCTTCTATATGTATGTGTATGTGTATGCCCATGCTTGTATCAGTATAAATAAGCAATAAAGCAATTTAGCAGATAAGCAAACACATAAGCAACAATGACGTACTGAGTACGTATACCCAATGAATAGGTTGATACAAACAGGATTGAGTTCTGAGCCAACACAACCAAATACAAATGCAAGTAAATGTCAATTCAGATAGATACAACTAGCTAGTAATCAATATCGGTATCAACGAAAAATGAGCCAGTATTCATAGACATGCATGCATATGGATAGATATAAGCAGCCAGACATAAATACGTATATATATATATATATATATATATATATATATATGTTTCTAAAGATCAGTATGAGTTAAATAAAAATGAATATCCACAACTATGAAGGACTATGAAGACATATGCAGAAATATCAAGAACTATGAAGAACTATGCAGAAACATGAAGACGCTTGCAAAAGTATGAGGGAATATGAAGACATGCGAGGCAATATCAGTTAAGGTGAACAAGTATGAATGAATATGCGCCAACATGAATAAGCATGACTAAATGTAAGTAGATATGAATAGATGTTAACAAGTTAAACTCAATAGAGCTAAATATGACCGAATATAGTTAGATACACCTAACTATAGCTAAATACTAATAACTTATATAGGCCTTTTTTACATATGGGAGTTTCCGAAAATTAGGGGTACCGTATTTTGGGGTCTTTAGCCCCCCGTCTTTGGTTTCTCCTCCCCATCCCTCTCCCTGTGGTGTGGTGTGATCTGGTGGTGGGTTGCTTCCCCCCTCCCTGTGGTGTGGTGTGGTCTCGGGGTGAGTCTGCTTGGGGTGGTTCGTCCCGTCCCCTCTGTGGCATGGTGTGGGTTCGTGTTTTCTTGCGGTGGTTCCCCCGCTGCGTTTTTGGGTCTGTTTCGGGTGTTTGGTATACTCATCCTTATGATGATAATGATGATAATGGGGACGATGACCACCATCATCGTCATCATCATCATTAATTAACTCAATCATCTTAATGCTTCTTTGGTTGGTTGTCGGGTGTCTTCTGCCCACGTGCCTGGTAATGATTATCGCTTTATTGATCGTAGGGCCAACTGTCTCAGGGATCGGGCCTGTCAGGGAACGCAGTCCTCGTGACAGTTGCCTTGTTTAAGACCCTCGTGTCGGAGTCGTTTTTCTTTGGGAAGTGTCCACAGTCACAAGACGCGATCCTCGTGACAGTTGACGGCTTTGGCGACATCACGTGTGAATGGTGCCGGACAAACTTGTACTGTCACACGCATCGGGCGTCTTTGGGACGCGATCCTCGTGACAGGACGGTTTCGGGGCCCTTATGTGCAAGAAGTGTGCGCAGTCACACAGATTCGGCTTGGGGAGTGGGTAGGGGGCGGGGGATACCATTGCGTGGGTCGGTCGGCGAACCGACAACCAGGATCATATATTATGGTCCCCTTTTTTCGAAAACTCCCATATATACACATTATTACGTGTTGAAATTTTCAGCAAATACAGATACATATGAACCAACCGAAGCAAATATAGACATACGAATCTACATGAAGACACATGATACAAACAAAAATCAAGAATGTGAAGACATATGGATAAGCGGAAATAGCTAGAAATAGACATACAAGTGAGTATGAATGCGCATGAATAGATAGATCGACATAAGCATGCATGTAAGTATGAATACAAACAAATATTACTATAACTACACATTTAAATATCTATGAACACACACACATATATAGAAATATAAAGATATAGAGATATAAAGGTATGAAGACATGAAAGTAAAATATACAGATATAAAAAATGTTCAGATAAATAAATATATAAATATAAGTATATAAATATATAAATATATAAGTATACAGTTATATAGATATATAAATGTATAAATATATAGATACACAAATATAGAAATATATGAATATATAGATATGTATATATATATATATATAAACATACAAATATGTAAGCATATAACATGTATAATCATAAAAAAATTTGTAAGCATATAAATATATAAGAATAGATATATGTACAACCACACAAACACACACACACACACCTTTACGTACGCATATCCGTACCTATATATATATATATATATATATACATGTATATATGTATATACATATGTATCTGCATATAATTTCATCACTGTCACAAGTGCAGACATACATATGCACGGACATGCAAAGATGCATGCACGAATCTGGCTGCGAGGACAAAGTTACGTACCTAGTACTGACACTTACATCTAGTCAAATCTACGTGCACATTGTTCTATCCATGTTTGCATGCACACACGCGTACATGCATACACACACCGTTGCCTACAGCTGTAACATGTCTGCGTGTTCCGGTGGGTTCCAATCGTATTCAAGCAATCCGGTTGCGAACGACAAGAGGCGACCCGCAGTTCGTGAATGCTTGTGCTAGCTTCCGGTACATTGCCGATCTACCAACTAAGGCCAGCCCAAGCCTCATGCCGGACGGAACGAGCAAGATGGATTATCTGCAGAAGCTGGGAGCAGACCAGGCGCGAGACAAGCGGAGAGATCGGCGCATTCTGAGGGAATCGAGTACGTCCCTCCAAAACCTTGAGGTGATCAACTACCGGAAGGAGGATTGGGCAGAGGCCCTGGCTGGCAAGGCTCTGCATCCTTCCAAGAAACCGGGCTTGGAGTTAGGGCGTCCGTTATGATGACAGATCGTGTGCAGCCATGGGAGGACTACGACCTCATCTACGACTGCGTTGGCCTCCCTGAGGCCGAGGGTGACAGAGGGCCCAGGATGCGAGGTCCCAAAGCCCAAGCAGAAGACGCTTCTGCCTTGCAGGATTGGCCCAAGGCTTCCAAGGTGCTGAAGGAGGGCGGCCTTTTCGCGGCTCGGGCTTCTTCAAAGGCAGCGTTGCTCAGGGCACCACTGCGGATCAGGAACGCTTGAATGTCTTCGGGTCATTGGGTTGGTGTTTGCCGTCGTGCAATAAACTCCCAATCAATGCTCACACTCGTCACCTCTGCCGGCCCTAAACTCACTTCCGCAAAGAACAAGATGGCCTTCGTCCAGATATCCTTCCTCCATGATGCAACCTCAGGTGAGTCTCGCGAACTTCGCAGGGAAGTCCACGGAGCGCCACCTCTTCAAGAGACTCGGAGTGGCAGAGATGCCTCGACCAGGTGAAATTTCCGGATTGTTCAGGGCTGGGCAGCTCAGGACGATCGCCAAGAAGAACAACGCGGAAGACTTGGCCAAGCTGGTCCAGCTTGTAAAGGACATGTCTTAGGCGTGAGGTCCTCATCAACAGGTGGAGTGAGCATGCAGAGGCAGACGGGTCCACTCAACTCCCAGCTACCTCCGGTGGCCTGAGTTTCCTTGCCGAGTGCCCTGACTCCCATAGGACGGGAAGCTGAAGGTGCCCATGGACGCCGTTTTTCCCTTCTCGGAGCCTGTGTGGCAACGCAGTTGCTTTTCCTACATGTCCCCTTTTTTGAGAGAAGCTTTCCAGGACGTGCCGGGCGCGCTGAAGAAGAGCCTGGGTGGGGCATCTGCTGGCAAGTTGGCCGCTTGCTGGATCCAGCCTGTGGCAGCATTGTAGCACACCCGCTAATGAAGGACCCCTGTCCCTTTTTGTATCCCGTCCTGTCCAATCGTGAAACAGTGTTTACTTTTAGCGTAGCTGTCGGTTTCGCAACTCGCGGAGCTCTCGAAGCTTGCGAAAGGTGTCGGATTCGGTGCTCTGGCCCTGAGGTCATCCGCGTCTCCGAGGAAGGCTCCTCCGAGAAGGGAAGGCTCTGAGGCTGCATTCTGAAATGAGCCGGTGCTTGCGGGGCGAGGAGGCAAACAAACTGCCAGACTACTTCAAGCGATCACAAGAGATTCTGCGAGCCTTGGCCCCTAATTCGGCGGACGGCTTGTGGTGAGTCGGACTTCAAAGGCCCGGCTAACTGCAGGCCACGAGAGCCGGAGTAGAATTCTTGCCCTTTCATGTCGGTGCATGGCGTCAGCGATCATCTCTTTTCCCGGAGAGCTGGCGCATGCTTGCGTAACAGACCCGGATGCAAGCAGGAGTTTGCGGTGATGGATACATCAAGGGTCGGTTTTTTTTTTGCGTGCGACACGAGCATCTGGGTCGGGCGCTTTAATGTTTTGGCCCGGCGAGCTGCCGCAAGGCTCCTCCCACACGTGAGAGCCAGCGGGAGCTCCTGAACATGAGCAGAAGATGAGGAAACCAGTGCGAGCGGATGCGTCGCGTCAGGCGAGTCTTTCCAACTCGGCCCGGCACTGAAGTCACGTTACTGCTCTAAGACGCGCGAAGCATGCCCGCTGACCCAAGCTTCAGCAGTCCTGGGGATATGACATCTCTACCCAGTCTTGCTTTCGGTATTGGTGGCGTTGGTGGTAGGGATAGTGGTGGTGGTGGTGGTGGTGGTGGTGGTGGTGGTGGTGGTGGTGGTGGTTCTGGTGGTGGTGGTGGTGGTGGCGGTGGTGGTGGTGGTGGTGGTGGTCGTAGTCGTAGTCGTAGTCGTCGTCGTAGCAACAGCAGCAGCAGTAGTTGTAGCGGTGGTAGTGGTAGCAATGGTAGTTGTGGTAGTGGTGGTATACTGTGGTATACAATAGTGGTAGTAGTGGTAGAAGTCGTCGGATGGAAGGGGAGAAGCAGGAGGACCAGCAGTCGCAGAAGCAGAAGTACGTAGCAGAAGCAGGAGAAGCAGCAGAAGGAGCAGCAGCGGCAGCAGTGGTAGTAGTAGTAGTAGTAGTAGTAGTAGTAGTAGTAGTAGTAGTAGTAGTAGTAGTAGTGGTAGCGGTAATGGTAGTGGTAGTGGTAGTCGTAGTCGAAGTAGTAGTAGTAGTAGTAGTAGTAGTAGTAGTAGTAGTAGTAGTAGTAGTAGTAGTAGTAGTAGTAGTAGTAGTAGTAGTAGTAGTAGTAGTAGTAGTAGTAGTAGTAGTAGTAGTAGTAGTAGTAGTAGTAGTAGTAGTAGTAGTAGTAGTAGTAGTAGTAGTAGTAGTAGTAGTAGTAGTAGTAGTAGTAGTAGTAGTAGTAGTAGTAGTAGTAGTAGTAGTGGTAGTGGTAGTGGTAGTGGTAGTGGTAGTGGTAGTCGTAGTCGTAGTCGTAGTCGTAGTCGAAGTAGTAGTAGTAGTAGTAGTAGTAGTAGTAGTAGTAGTAGTAGTAGTAGTAGTAGTAGTAGCAGTGGTAGGTAGTGGTAGTGGTAGTAGCCGCCACGGCTCAGATGCTCGGGAAGTTTTTGCGCTGGCTTTCGAACAGGCTCTGGATTCCAACCCTTCGTTGATGGAGGTCCCTACCAGGCTCCTATTCGAACGACTGAGGGTTGGTTCCTTTTGCAGAGCCATGTGCCTCGCGCTAATTGCTTGCGTCTGAGCTGCCAGGTCCCAATTCCTGGACCCAGTCCCTTGTTTAAGACACGGGCCCACTGGGCAGGTGGTAGGGTTTCCACGAACCGCGCAGTGGAGGGAGTCACTTAGCTTGCTTCGTGACGAAATAGCGGATGGCGCTGCTACCAGTGCACTCACAAAATTATTCTCGGACTAGGAAAAGTCTTTCAAGCATGCTTGCAATCAAGCCGCTGTCAGTCAGCGGCCTGTGTCGTATCGAGGTCAGGTTCGGACTCCTTCTTTGCTAAGGAGAATGGGCAACTGCCCGCCGCAGCCCAGCCCAAAAGTGGTAGGCATTCATCGAGCTCGTGCAGGCCAGGCGACCAAGCCCATAAGAGTTTTGTCGTGGAATGCCGGGCACCTTGGTCAGCAACAGTGGTCAGAGGTGAAGTCCTGGCTATCCACTGAGGCAACACGAATGTGTGATGTGCTTGTCCTGCAGGAAACGCACTGGCAGGCAACGGCAGAATTCAGTGCCGCAGGATGGTACTGTGTCACTTCTGCGTCACCCACAGACGCTAAGCCTAGTAAGCGGAGGCACTGCCCGACGACGCCAGTCAAACCCCGACCAGAAAGGAGGCGTCCACGATGTTTTTGTCTCCGTCCATTCCACCTAAGGGAGTGAGATGGAAGGAGCACGTCGTCGGCAGGGTCGCGGAGATCAGGTTTGATTGGCACGGCGTCCGGACTACCGTTGTTGCGGTGTACCAACATGTGGTCGCCAGCCAACACTGTCCAGGCAAGCCGTCAAGACCGTGCCCAGGTGCTAAAAACACTTAGCAGATGCGTCAAGCAGGTGCCCCATACAGATACTTTGGTCTTAGCAAGTGATTTCAACTGCTCAATCACCAAGCATCCGCGTCTGATTGGGTCAGAGACACTAAACGCCCGGACGAGTCAGAGCTGCACAAATTCCTTGTAACTCACAGACTCGTAGCCCTCAATACCTGGCGCCCCCAGCCCACTCACACCTTCATTCAGGGGGAAACACGTGCCCAGATCGACTACATATTTACTCGCGAGGCCTCTGCAAGCACTTGCCTGCGCCTCAGATCAAGACACTGCGACATGATACGGCTGCACTGCAGGATGCTGTGGGATCAACTCCTGTCCAGAGCCACCGAGCGATTCTTCCCTAAAGTTTCGGTGGCAACCGTAGCAGCCAAACGCATGTGGAGTGCGAAATGCGGGAGCAATGCTCGCTCTACAACGGAGGTACCGGCTCCCTCCCTAGAGCAGCAGCAATCCCTGTATACGCACAACACAAGCAAGCCCTAAAGCAAGCCCGCGTGGACAAAACGGCACGCGTCATGGCAGAGGTCGACCTGGCTATCGCACAGGGCGATCAGCACGTGGCATACCAGACCCTAAAGAAGCGCAGCTGAAGGACTCAAATGGGCTCTTGCTGAGCCCTGACAATGAGCTGACCGTCGCTCGATCCTGGCAAAGTAGCCACACACATAGCATCTACTAAGCCAGGCAAGGCGTTACCCGTCTGGAAGCTTTGCGCACCAGGCCCTATAGCCACCCACTGCATGTCCCTGCCGCAGGATCAGGACCTGGACGACGGACTCACTCTGCCTGATCCCTAAGCCGGGCAAACCAGCTGACAAACCCTCGCAGCTACGTCCACTAAAAGTCTCGCTGGCACGGCTAAGGCTATAAGGAGTTACTGTGTTACTCGAGCCTCTCACGCTCCCGTACATGCGGCCTCTGCCTCAGTTCGCCTGTGGGCTCTCAGATGCGCAAAGCCGAGTGGTACAACGCCTTCGCGAGGCTCGAGGACTCTGTCGCACCGCGACTCCGACAAGAGCGGAACTACAGCGAAGACACTGTCCGGCGAGCCTAGAAGGAGGCATGACTTAGGAGATCCTATCCCTGCTCACCGAACTAGCCGCGGACGCCCTGCTGCAGAAGCTCATACACGGCCTGCACCACCGACCCAAGTACCGCCTTCGTTCCCAAGGCGCCTACAAGGATGTAGAAACAACTACAGGCATCAAACGGGCACACTCCTGCACAGCCTCATCAACACCTTTGGCTGGGACACTGTCCACCGGTACCTTGCAGGTTATGCGGATGACTTTACAATGCATCGCACGAGCCGTAGCCAAGCTGACCTGGCCGCCGCCCACAAGCTGATTCTGCACTTGCTAGCCGCGGTAGAGCGACTACGACTGCGGGTCAACCCGGCCAAATGTGCCTTGCTGGTCAAACTGAGCGGACGTGAGGCGGACTCAGTTATGCAGAAGCACACGTGCTGGATTCCGGACGCCGATGGCGTGCTGCAGAAGCACTGGCACCTGGGAAAACATAAATCTTGCCTTGCGTGTCGGCTGGTAGGGCAAATTAGGTATTTGGGCATACAAATCTCCTACCCTGCGGCGTCGGATTGCTGAGGTGGCCAAAAAGCTCCAGCAAGTGCGGCGCTATGTTTACAATCGCAGAGTCGTGGGGCCACTGGCCAGGCTTCGCGTCTGGTTCCCTACCGTCTATGCGACTCTTGTGCCGGGCTTGCCCGAGGTCGGCCTCACTGAAGAAACTGCTCGCCTCCTGCGCGGATGGTATGCTCATAAGCTCCGCTCGGTTCTTAACCAACCGGCGCATGTCAGCCGCATCCCCGCAGCTGATGTGTTTCGACTGCGCCGCATGGCATCCCGCCTCAAACGGCTGTGCTCTCGAGGCCCTGCCCAAGTTGGTGTAACACACCCCAGCTGTGTGGCCTACACTGAGGAGCCACTGGCTGCCCTCGCAGGCCACTACGACTCACTACGACGACCCTTGCTCCGCAGATACCCAAGATGCACAGCCTGATGTTACGCAGATGTCACACGCTGTACAGGCCTTACAAGACATCTTGCAGGAGGCGGAGAACATCTCGGCGCCGACGGAGGCCTCCCAACAGGCCCTCCACTTGACTTGTGCCCTCACTGCGACTCAGGCTTCGTCTCGGCCCATGGGCTGCACATGCATGTTGCACGTAAGGTTTGTCTCGAACTCCCCGGAGGAACATCAAGGCCTGGCACGCTTCAGGGCTTCAGGGTGAAGGTTCAGAGCTCGCCAAGCAAGGCACTCAGTCAACTTGCCGCGCCCCTAGGAACTTGCGCACAGATGCATCATTGCGGCGTCTGGACGTCTGACCACACGAAGATGAACAATCATCATCATCATCGACAGGCGCACGACCGCGAATGGAACAGGGACGGCCCTCCGGCACTGAAGTTGTGTCAGGCTTACTCGGTGCAAATGATCAAGGGACACACATGCCGCCCCCTACTGCCGCAAGAAGGTCTACGATAAACGTGAGCACCCGGCACAATGCATTGTTCTTTTCCAGGTGCTCTTCGGGTGGCACAGAATGCACGGCACTGATGACAGGCGGGGACACTGTCCGGTCGTCCCAC